ACCACCACCACAACTTTCACAACCATCACTACTACCTCCACCATCATCACCACCACCACCATCATGAATCCTAAAAAAACTAATGCACCAACAAAAAATAATAATAATAATAATAATAAATTTTGTTAACGTAATTTTTTCATAATCGGCCTTCCCGAAGGTATAAATAGTAAACAGTCGAAATAAAATTTCCTTCAAAAGGGAAAAAAAAAAAAAACTTTAAACAAAATTAAAAAATTATTTTTTTTTTTATTTTTTTTGTAAGTACCAAAAACGGGAAACGGGAAAAGAAAAGAAAAGAAAAAAAAAATTTTTTTTTTTTTCAAAGGGTTTTTTTTTTTTCTTTCATCCTTTTTTTATTTTTTTCCATTTTTCCTTTTCCTTTCATTTTTCCCTTGTTTTTTTTTTTTTTTTTTTTTTTTTTAATTGAAAATTTTAAGCAATTTCAATTTTTATTATTTTCCTTAAGGCATTTATTATTATTATTATTCATTTCTTTTGTCAAAAAAAATAAAATACTAATAATAATAATAATAATAATAATAATAATAATAATAATGATACTGATGATGATGATGAAAGTAAATTTTAACAAACCGGTTGTTTCCTCTTTTCTTTTTTTAATTCATTATTATTAAAAGTATATTATATTAATTTTCATTCAATTAATCTCTTTCTTTCTCTCTTACCCTCCCCTCTCTCTCTCTCTCTCTCTCTCTCTCTCTCTCTCTCTTATTTATTTTTATAATTAAATATTTTAATAATTTAAAAATTTTTATTTTATTACTTTACCGTACCAAAAATATTATTATTATTATTATTATCATCAAATTAAATATTTATAATAAAAAATAAACGTATCCGAATTTTTTTTTCCTTTCTTTGTTTTTTGTTCTCCATAAAATTTATAAAATGAACGAAAACGATAATGATGATGATGATGATGATGATGAATAAAATTACAATAAATTATATTGAATCCGGTGATTTTAATTAAAACAAATTATTCGTGGTAATTTTTTTTTTTTGTGTGCATGGGCCCCCCTTTTCTCTCGATAAACAAAATGCGAAGTCTCCCTATCACGGGAAAATTTTTTTTAGGGATTTCGTAGCAACCGATAAAATATAAACAAACACGATGAAAAAACGTTTAACAACCTCAACAACAACAATAACAACAACAACAACAACAACATAATTTTAAAAGAAAATATAAATAATATTAAAAAAAAAAACAAAATTATAAAAAAAAAAAAAAACTTCTTTCAAAAATATTTTAAAAAATTTAAAAAACTTATCTTTGATAAAAACATACATTGTATAAATAATAATAATAAATGTATAGAAAAACGTTTTTTTTCTTTTTTATTAGTACCACGTTCGAAATTAATGCCACGATCATCATCTTCGTTCACGTTTTAATAAATAACGATTAAATCATCAAAAACCGAATTCTTGTTTTAAAAAAAAAAAAAAAAAAAAAAATTAACAAACAAACAGAATAATATATTTACCTGTAAATAGTCGTTTGTAAAATTTAAATGATTTCAAATCGGCGACCGTTAAAATCACATATTATATAAAACAAACACAAACACAAACACAAACAACTTTAAATTACTTTATAATTTTATTTATTTTTAGTTTTTTTTTTTTTTTTTTTTCACGAACGAAAACACACAAACGAAAACACAACATTATTAACAAATTGATATAACTCTTATTATTTTACATAAAATTTTCAAAATTTAAATTTTATTAATCAATTTATTAAATTAATAATAATAATGATAATACACTACTTTACACATTTCCTATTTTGTAATTAACAAATAAATTTGTTTTATTTAAAGTCAAAAACCATTTAACGAACATGCATGAGAGACCATTTAATATTTAATTTATTTATTATTTAAAGTCGTTATTTTACATTAGGATATTCGAAAACGAAAACGATAATAATAATAATAATAATAATAGTGATAATTATAATTTTCGTAACGAATGAATAATAAAAAAACAAAAACATTTAAAAAAAATTTTTAACGGTTTTTTTGTTTGTTATTCGTTATGCGCGAGATGGTGGAACAATTTTTAAATTTTAAAAATTTAAATAAAGGCGCGAAACTCACGTCCACGGTAACCGATTGGAAAACATAACGGTACCGATAAAAAAATAAATTATGAAATACCATTTTATAAATAACGGATATTTTTCAAATGAATTTTCAACGGTGAAAAGAAAATTTTTCCAATAACTATTTTTCGTTTTGTCGCACTCGTAAAAACAACTATCGCGACTTTTTTCCCTTTTTTTATTTAATTTGTCCAACACTGTCTCACGTTCCGCGGGAACTTTTATCGTTTTCGACAAAGCTATGGCCGAATACCAATATGGCAACGGACTCGACGAAGCCAACAATCTCGTTATTACTTGAACGTGTACCATTAAAATACCGAAAATTGTTAAAAATGCGACGTGTGCAACGTACGGAAATATTCTCAAGGGTAATTCTCCTTCCAATTCTTTATCAACGATCCCCAAAAAAATTAAAGAAAATTTATAATTTTTAACGAAATCGTACGTTCCCCTACCCACGATGTAAATCATTGGGAATGCTAAAAGAAAATTTGGCAATTGTTTTAATTCGTAATAATTTAAAAATCCCACGTTCCAATAACGATTTTGTACGTAGGAATAAGCTATCGGATAAGAATCATTACACCACGTTGATCTATTAGCCGGAAACACGTACTCGTTCGATACGCCATATTGTCGAATAAATAACGGTAAGTTTTCCCGATGGGGATGACAAAATTTAACGTAGCAATACATTTGATAAATAACGAATGGAATAATTGTTAAAAAAACTCCCATGCTAAAAACCAAACTAAACATGAGTAATGTTTTCGTTTTGAATCTCATTTTTATGTATTGATAAATCACAAAACCTAAATTTATCAAACCGTTTGAACGAGTTGCTCCAGTCATTCCCATTATCAAACAACTGAGAACGTTGTTATTTTTATTAATTTGTAAAAGTCCATAAAATATCAAAAAACAATACAGGGATTCTGAATAAACTGCTGAAAAAAATATACTCGCTGGATTGATGGAAAACAATATTGACGATATGAATGCCAATTTTTGACTTTTCAAAACGACTAAACTTAAATTAAATAAAATTTTCGAAGTGTAAATAAATAATAAATTATTAAATAAAACTGATACTATTATCAACAAGCTGTGCATCGACATCAAGTTATTTAAATGAAAATAAAAACTTATGTAGTTTAACATTGATAATGTTAAGTTACTCAACTGTCTAATTATAACTGGGAAAAGTGGAAAAAAAGCGATTGTGTTTTCGTAAGTGTAACCATATTCGGAAATATGTAAAAAATATTGAGCATCCCAATGTGTTAAACCTTTAAATAATAATTCAGTGATTTTATCAATTCGAGTTTTTGTATAACTCAAATTCAATGGTTTTTGAAAAACATTCGCATCATGATCTGGAATTATTAAATTTGATAAAAATTGCAATAATATAATTCCAACACGAGAACATATTGCAAAATTTTGAACTTTTTCTTCCAGTGAATAAACCATTATTTTTTCCTTTCCCGCTTCCTAGAAAATTTACAAATTAACACTGAAAATAAATTAAATTAAATTAAAATGTGCCTTTGAGTTTAAAAATTTATTTAACAATGGCAGAGCATTAAAATTAAATTCGAATATACAAATTTATTAATGTTGTTCAAACAAAAAGAGGTTATGTTTACATTTCTCACCTTTTTCATATTAAACACTTTCTAATTCGAATGATTCACACACAATAAATTATATAAATTCAATGTTTTAAGTCATCGTGTAAATGTTTTAAAACGAAAATTAAACACAGAAATGAATTAAAAAAGAATTATAAATAATTAAATAATCAATTGTCATTAAACGAAAACAATCTCCATGTTACTCAACTGTGTTACACGTAAATATGCCGCGGTTACCATGGCAACCTCGCTTTTGTTTACCATATTGTTTTTTTTTTTTTTTCTGTTTCACATTTAAAAACTTCTCTTCAATGAGTTTTTAGGTTAAGTGTTTTTATATAAAATTTATAATAATAAAATATTTTTTCAAGAGTTCTTTTGTCAAAATTTATCTTAATATTTTTGTTCTCTACATGAGATAAATATTAAATAAAGTTTTTTTCACAAATAAATTAATAATTAACTAAATACTTTTATGGGAATAAATTTATTTAAAACGTACCGGTATTTACACATTTTATGTATTGATTTTTACTTTTCTTTTTAATTAAATATAAATCAAATTAATTAATTTAAAAAAAAAAAAAAAAAAATACTAAAATCTGACTATTCACATACGCAAACTGTTCAGTAAAAAATCATTTTGGGGAAAAAAATTTCTATTTCGAAATAAATGATTCTGAACGATTATGATAAATGATTCTTTAAAAATAAATTACAATAAATGATTTTTCAATTTAAAAACTTCTTTTTTTTTTTTATTGAAATAACAAGAATATCGAATATAGTGATAAATACACAATTTGAAGCTTTTCAAAAATTACTTTAAACGACAGAGAAAAAAAAAAATTTTAAATGGGATATAATAAATAAATCCCTAATTTTTTGTTTTCTTTTTAAATCAATTATGAAATTTCTTCGACCAAATTATAAATTATTTTCAAACAATAAATTTTTCACATTGTTGAATTATTATTATTATTACAAACTTATCGAAGAAAACATTCGTGATCAACAAAATTTGCTGTCAAATATTTTGCAAATTTTTTCTCTTTAATGACGACTAAATTTTTACTTTTACTTTAACTCCATCAATAAATTATTATTATTATTATTATTAATATCATTATCATTATATTTATTTTTTTTCTTTTTTTTTTTAAAAAGATACTAATTCTTTATTTGAAATTCTAAATTACACAATTATGGTAAAAAATCATGTAAATCCTGCGTCTTTAAACCAGACAATTTTCAAAAAAAAAAATAGAAAAACGGTAGCGAGTTTTTAAAATAATAACCAATAAAATAATTATTATTATTTTAAAACACTTTCTACGTATTTTATATAAATTATGTAATATTCATTACGAATAAATTATCATCATTATTATTACGTGTTTAAACAAAACCTTAACGAAACGAAATTTCAAAATTTTTTCTTCACTGGGGTTTTTTGTTTAAAAAACTTGGACTCCACGATCCTCGCGTTGTCAATATAGTCGGCTTTTCTTTATCTAACTTTTGTTTCTCCTCTATTTGCTCCTGAATTGATAAATAAATAAATAAATAAATAAATAGAATTTAAAATTTTAATAAAAATTGTTTTAAACCAGACTCACAAGCAACTTCCTTTGATTCTCTCTAAAAGCTTCAACTGGATTATCGAATTGTCGATAATATTCCAACGTTTCTCTGACGTCATCAACTTTGGCTAAAGCTATGGCTGTGATATAAGAGAAGAGAAAATATTATTTACTTTTAATATAAAAGGTGATGAAATTACAACTGGAAAATTGTTTTCATACTTTTTAAAAAGGCAGCCAAATCCACCAACATTAAATCATCGTCGTTGCCTTTCCAACGAGGCACCAATATCGTATTTGACCTGTGAAATTTCACGGAATCTGGATTCCAATCGACCACGATTACCTTTTTGAGATCTCTATTAAGACAACTAAGATCTTTTACGTGATGTCCATCGACAAAATGTGTAGCATCTCTCACCAAACGATACATAATGTAACCGTTCGGATCTAAAGCATCAAGTATTGGAAAGACAGTCTGGAAATAAAAATTCAATTTCGAATCATCAATGAAAACCATCTGTCAGAGACATCTTTTAACGAAAACAAAAAAAAAAAAAAAAAAATGTTAATGAAACTTTATGACATTTTACGATCATAACATTTCTAAAAATTTATATGAACATTAAAACGACTGATTCATTTACCATTCCTTGATCAGCTGTAAAAACAACAATTTCAAATAATGGCGGAGCTACTTGTTCTAAAAAATGATCCACTCCAGGTCGTTTTTTAAATCTCCATCCGGTCTGATACTGAAAATATATTTGAGACGATATTATAATCATCGAATTAAATTGTTCCAACTTGAAAAGTTTTATTTTATAAAACAAATTTTAATATTATAGATTGAAATATACACACTTACTGTCCAATCGGGATGTACTAAAACATCAGTCATTTCTAAAACCAATGTATAAGGTGGTTGAATGTAAGGATAGGTTAAGGGATCAGGTAACAATTTTTTTCTAGAAGGTTCTTGAATCATTTTCTGATAATAATTCAATTCCCTCCATATTCTACTGGTAAATTGTTGTAAAGGTGGCATGCCACTGAACTCATCTTCGATAATATTTCCATTCTCATCAACTTTCGGGCTACCTATAATGAATAGAATCAAATTTTAAATTTTTAGGTTTATTTTAACCTTTGTTAATAATGATTAAAGCATTTTATGATTTAAATACTGTTTAAGTAACAAAATGTAACACAAATTGATAAGGACACAAGTTTTGCAAAATTAATAATAATTTTATATTAATATATTTTACTACCTAATTGATATATCATATAGCTTCCGAATAATCCAAAAGATGCACCGAATGCAATAAAACTATATTTCATCGTTTTCCATGTGGCATCTCTTTTTTTGGCTTCTTCTTCTTCCATTTTTTGTTGTTCAATTTTTTCTTTTTCATTTTCATCTTTATTTTGTTCTATTGATTTTACATCATTTCGAAGACTGTCTTTAATACTATTATCATCGGTGGTATTTTTATCTTTACTAAAGTACCTTAAAGCTGTTGCTGAAGTGAAAATCAATATTTAATAAAGCATACTCTTATAAATTCTCAATAACTTTAATCATTTTATTTTTATACTTACTAAATTCGAAACGTGACAACTGCTGGGGTTTAAGTTTTAAACACACCGGATGATTCTGTTTATTAAAATAACATACACTATAATGTCTAATTCTAAAATTGGACTTAACAGATTCGCTAACAGATTTTAACAAATATCGTGAAACTTTTAAGCAATTTAAACTAGGAACAGCCATATTATTTTCTATTTAAATTTTGTTTATTTCACTATCAATGTACCTTCACATGTTCAAAAATTTTATCGTGTACTCAGTTAAAAACAAAAACATAGCCGACATATTGATAATAAGACTACGCATACGTTTATTTTTTCGTGTAACTAGACAAACATGTCTACATTGACTAATACTGACAGTTAATTGAAAATTAATTAATTTTATATCAAACATACGTTCCGTCTTATTAGTTTTTCTGAACAAATAATTAACATGGTAAATTTTTAATTTATTACATTTTCCATTTGTTTTTACGTAAATCAATCCAACTTTTATCACAAACTTTACATTAATGCCAAAAAACATACTCAACAACCTGTAATACTATTGAATGAATTAAAATTTATTTAAATTAACATTTTTGTATTTTTTTTTTTTTTTTGGGTATATTTTAGTCCGCCTTATTCAATTTTCAAAGTTTATTGACGGTTATTTTATTATTAATATGCACTTGTACGTATTTAAGAGCAATCGTTCCCAGTCTATTGGATCGTAATAAAGTTGGGTTAGTAAAAACTATTTTGTTTAAAATTTCCACACTGTTTTATATACGAACCTAAAAAATAAATCCACAATTTGTATTATTTATTTCAGATTTATGGGAACGTTTTGGAAATGTGCAAGAATTGGAGAAAGAAAGAGTCCTTATGTCGCATTTAGTTGTATATTAATGGCCAATGCTATTTTATTTTGGTCATAATTTTATCTAATATATAAATATATATATATTTTAATCGAATCATTCATAATAATTATTAATTAAAGGTACATCATTAATTATTAATTTTTATTTTACAAAAATTTAAAAATTGTTATTTCATTACTTTTTCTTCTTTTTCTCAAATTTGTATGCATGAATAAAAAAATATTTTTTTTGTTTTTGTAAAATTATTTATTCTTATTTTTCCAAATTAAAAATTTGTCACTTCATTATTATTGTCATCACTCGATAATAAAATAATAATAATAATAAATGAAAATTTGTGAAAATTGTTTTAGTAACATTTGAACCCACTAGGTGGATTAACAACACGCTTAGGGTCATACATACATTAATGGTTTAAACTTTTTTTTTTTTTTTTTTTTTTATTAAACTAAATTACCGTCGAAAAATGTCACAGTGCAAATAATTTACTCAACGTGACACAGGCGTAATAATATTTTTTTTTTTAAAAATTTTTTTTAATTATATATAGTATCATATTTAAAAAATGATAGTTTTTAATACATAAAAAAAAAAAGAAAAAAAAATTAAACTTCCAATAATAAATTTTTTACGCGGTTACGAACGAATTCATTCATCGATAATTATTATTATTATTATTTTTTTTTTTTTTTGTCGTTATCAAAATGAAAAAAAATTATAAAAACGTCGTCGGTGAAAAATTAATAACGACTGATAATTCCAGATTTCAAGTTGCTAAAGTTATAAATAATGGAGATGAAACTGGTCCAGGTAAGATAATAATAATAAAAGAAAAATTTCCTTTTTTTTCAACTTTTAATCATTATTATTATTATTATTATTATTATTATTATTATTATTGAAAAAAGGTAAAGGCTCGAATAATCAATTGATAAAAAATACTTTTTTCTACTGCTTTATTATACACAACAATATTATTATTACAATAATAATAATTTTTTTTTTAAAAATCAACTTTTACCCCTTCCCTTCTCTCCCCCCCCGATCCCCACCCCCTTTATTTGTTTTCCACTCGATGATAAGAGATGATCATAATAAAAAAAAAAATGTCAAATTATTCTAAAATTAAAGTAAATAATATTCGTTTAAAAAAAAAATTAGAGTCATTAAAAAAATGTTTTTTTTTTTTTTAATATGTTCACGTACAATAATAATTTTAAGCGAGGTCAGTAGTCGTTGTTGTTGTTGTTGTTGTTGTTCTGGTTGTTGTCGTCTTGTACTCAACAAGAAAATTATTAAAAAATTTTTTTATTCGACAAACGAATTTAAACAACCGACAACCATCTCGTTCTTAAAAAAAAAAAAAAAATTTTTTTTTTTTTTTTTTTTTTTTTTTATCAGGTTCTGACTATCGTATAACTATACCAAATATTGAAATTGATAATTACGACGAAACGGATGAATATGATAAACCGTTAAATAATTCAACAGCAACAACAGCAACAAATTCTCAAAAACATGGACAAACAACAAATCACAACAACACGTACGTGTACGATCCAAAAATTTCTAAAAATTTTTTGGAATATACGAGAGAGGTAAGAAATAGAAAAAAAAAAATTCTACATCCAAATCATTTTTTGCGATGAAATAATTTTTAACTTTTTTATTTTTTCCGCCCCCCCCCCCCCGGCACACACCCCCACGAAACTAGGCATTGCCGAGATTGGAACATTATAAAGATTTCAACAGCGTTCATCACGCACAACGACCATCTTTGGATGCTCTTCATAACGATCGATTTCACGAAAAGGTTTGTGTTTTATCACCCTTAACTCTTATTATTATTATTATTATCATTACGACACGATTCACCCCCACCCCCCCCCAGGTCGTAATTTTAAAACAATGACAAAAATATTTAGAGAGAGAGAGAGACAGACAGACGAAGATGGAAAAAAAAAAAAAAACTTTTAACAATTATTTCGCGTCTCAGAACTTGTTAATCCATTAAAAGAAAAAAAATTTTACAAGGAGAATTAAAAAGGCTGTGCGTGTGTGCGTGCGTGCGTGTGTAATTTTCCGACGGGCGGAAAATAATTGCACCAATTCAAACGAAGCAAAAAAAAAAAAAAAAAAAAAATACATTTCGTTACTATTATTATTTTTTTATTTTTATTTTTTTTTTCATTACCTCTTACAACTTCTGATAGAATTTTTCTTTCGAATTTTCTCTAACGCAAAATTTTTCTGCCGTTAATCAGGTGCACACATACACGTATTATCACGTTTGCTTTTTTTTTTTTTTTTTCTCACAAGCGCCATTAATTAATATTAAATTATCGGGTCAACGATATAAATTAATGTCGAAGAAAAAAATTTTTAGCATGACCAAAAAAAATGAACCACGTGACTTTATTAATGTCTGACATTAATTGACGTGATGGGTCGATTGACGATGACGACCACGACGACAAGCACACACACATAAAAATTTACGTTATTTTGCTATAGTTCGGAAATGACGGTTAATAATGATAATGATAATGATGATAATTACAGGTACAGAGGGAAAAAGATGAAGAAAATTCAGAACCTCAGGGTAAAATAATAAAATTCGGATGGTTGGACGGTGTCTTTATGAGATGTCTTTTAAACATTTGGGGAGTCATGCTTTTTTTAAGGTTGTCTTGGGTCGTCGGACAAGCGGGAATAGGCGAAGGGGCTTTAATTATATGTCTGGCAAACGTTGTCACCATCGTCACGACCATATCCATGTCGGCCGTGTGTACGAACGGTCAAATAAAAGGGGGTAAGAATGTATAAATAATAATAATAATAATTTTTGTTTACCTTAATTAATTTCCAATTTGGATTTAGGAGGCGTGTATTACATGATATCTCGATCATTGGGCCCACAATTCGGTGGTGCTATCGGACTCATGTTCACACTTGCCAATTCCGTTGCTGTTGCCATGTACATCGTAGGATTTTGCGAATCTCTTCAGGTATGACCTCCTCAACATCATCATCACCTGATAAATAAATAAATAAAATTAATTTTTTTAAAAACATGTTTTCTCCATTCCTCAGACTTTATTGAAAACTTTTGATTTGATAATAATCGATGGAGATGTAAACGATATAAGATTGGTGGGAACTTTAACGCTTATTTTAATATTGATACTCGCCATTGTTGGCATGGATTGGGTGACAAGAGTAAGTTATGAAAAAAATTTCCTTTTATGACGTCATTAATTGATTTTCTCACCTTCGTTTGTCATGATGTCCAGACTCAGATGGTGCTCCTCATCGTCCTGATTTTATCACAATTGGATTTCGTGATAGGAACGATTGTGGGACCGAAAAATCAAGAAGAAATCGCCAAAGGATTTGTTGGGTATAACGGTACGTGAAAATCGATGAAATAATGATGATGATGATGATGATAATAATAATGATGAGTTTAATTATTTCAGGTGAACTTTTTACCAAAAATTTTTTTTCCTCATATCAATTACACGAGGGTATAGAACACGATTTCTTTTCCGTTTTTGCTGTTTTTTTTCCAGCAGTAACTGGTATCGTTGCTGGAGCGAACCTTTCGGGAGATTTAAAAGTAATAATTCCTACCGAATGGAAAAAAAAAAAAAAAAAACCGTTGAATTTACAATTTTTAAATTAAAAATAAATTTTACAGGATCCGAGCAGTGCCATACCTAAAGGTACTCTCCTTGCCATATTCGTTACTTTTTTATCTTATCTTGCCTATGCTTTTATGGTTGGAGGTTGCGTTCTGAGAGATGCATCTGGAGACGTCGAAGATTACATAAAAGGATTAAATGAATCGAATCCATTACTATATGTAACCAATTGCACGATTGGAAGTTGTAGTTACGGTTTACAAAACGACAGTCAGGTTTGTCTATTATAAACCTTAGTTCTTTTTGATTGAAACGTTGATTTTCGACAGGAATCTTTTTCTGTTTTTTTTAGGCGATGGAATTGGCATCCCTATGGGGTCCATTGATTTACGGTGGTTGTTTTGCTGCTACCTTATCATCGGCTATAGCTAGTTTAGTTGGAGCTCCAAGAGTTCTTCAAGTATTTAAAAAAAAAATTGTTTTAATCATTTCAATCGACATTTAAACTTTAATACTAATACCTTAATCCTTACTTTTGCAGGCTTTGGCGAAGGACAAATTATATCCTTTTATAGGTTTTTTTTCCGAAGGCTACGGAGCGAACAACGATCCCGTACGAGGTTACGTTCTGGTTTTTTGCACGTCGTTCGCTTGTATTTTAATAGGTAAACAGATGAACCCATTAAAAATAATAATAATAATAATGACAGAAATGACGTCACTCATTCATTTTGATTCATTAATGCAGCACAATTGAACGCCATTGCACCACTTCTATCCAATTTTTTTCTGACGGCTTATGCTTTGATAAATTTTTCGGTGTTTCATGCTTCCATATCGAAGAGTCCCGGATGGAGACCTGCATTCAAAGTAATTAAAAAACAAATTGTAATCATTTAAATTCAAAAAATGTCTAATAATAATGATAATAATAACTTTTTTTTTTTTTTAGTACTACAATGCTTGGGTCAGTTTATTGGGGACCCTATTATGCATTCTGGTCATGTTTTTAATATCTTGGTGGACGGCATTAATAACTTTTGTAGTGGTTGTAACGTTGTACCTATACGTTTCCTACAGAAAACCAGGTTACATGTGCATTTTTTTTTTGTTCTTCCTACATAAAACCGGGTAATGGATGGTAAATAAGTTTAATAAAAGTATAAATAATTATGCAGATGTCAATTGGGGATCCTCGACTCAAGCTCAGTGTTATAGCATTGCATTGCGTTCCGTTATTGACTTGAACTACATGGAAGAACATGTGAAGAATTACAGGCCGCAAATTGTCATATTGAGCGGTTTGCCAGGATGGCGACCTCCGTTGGTACATTTTGGTAATCTCGTTGTCAAAGGATTATCACTTTTAATCTCTTCACACATAGTACCCGTAAGTTTATCGAAACGAAATTAATAAAACAATGAATGGTTTAAAAAAAAAAAAAAGGCATTTCCAGGAAGAAGTTTCGCAAAGAGAAATTGATAATTTAACAAAGAGAGGTCATAGATGGTTGGCACATCATAAAGTAAAAGGATTTTTCAATGTGGTAGCAGCAAAAAATTTCGAATCCGGTGCTCGATCATTAATGCAAAACGTGGGAGTTGGAAAATTGAGACCGAATATGTTGCTGATGGGTTACAAATCGACGTGGAAAAAATGCAGTTTGGACGAACTTCTACAATATTTTAACGTCATACAGTAAAAATTTTTTTTTTTCTTTATAACCGTTAATCAACTCGAAAAAATTTTAATAATAATAATGATTTCACAGCGGTGCATTAGACAGGCATTTAGCCATAGGAATTCTTCGAATGCCTTCAGGTTTGGATTATTCGAATAGAATACAAGATGAAGATTTAGTGGCACCTGAAAACGAAAGAGAAAGAAAACGTAGAAAAAGAAATAAAAAACTCATTGATAGAAACAATTCATCCAATCATCTTTCTTCTGGTAACAAGTTTCAAGTTCAATTTTTGTATAAAACTTTATGAGTTCGCGCCATTTTTTTTTTCTTTTTTTTTTTCTATTAAAGATAGCGAAACGGAATGTAAAAAAATATCCAATTCACCATCCGGAGACCTTAAAGAAAGTCATAAGAAAAAAGGCGAAAAGTTTTAAGAAGTCGTTTTAAGGGTACCATTGTGCCAAAGGTAGAAAGACAACCGTTAGATTTAGATGGTAATCCCGTTTCAAAAGATGTTTTGGATAGTCTAATGCATTTTCGTAAAAGACAAACGGCTGGAAATATTGATGTGTGGTGGCTATACGATGATGGAGGTATCAAATCGTCAAAAAAGGATACCGGTTAACCCCCTCCCCCACCCCCTTACCCATCGACATAACGTTAATGATAATCATTTTCAGGTTTGACATTACTCATACCTTATATATTAAGCACGAGATCCATATTTTCCGAATGCAGACTAAGAGTTTTCTCATTGTGTAGTAACGCCGATGAACTAGATCAGGAACAAAGAAAGTTAATATTAAAATAAAATTTAACACATCAATTTAAAAATTAATTTTAAAACTTTAAAAAATTACTTTTAATTTTTTTTTTTAAGGCTGGCAGCATTGTTATCAAAATTTAGAATAAGTTGCAAAGATGTCATAGTTATACCTGATATTATGAAAAAAGCTCAAACATCTTCAAGAATTGAATTCGATGGTTTGGTACAAAATTTTCGAGTTAGAGATGATCAAGTGACAGAAGAAAATAGTAAGTCAATGAATATCTCCATCTGAAATTAAATAAACAGTATTACTATTATTATTTTTATTTTTATTATTATTAAAATCAATAGAATCAATAGTGATTTCCGATACAGAGTATCATAATTTAAGAGAAAAAAGTAACAGACATATGAGACTTAGAGAGCTTTTAAGAGAACATTCATCTGATGCAGCTTTTATCGTTATGTAAGTTAAAAAGATTATATCTTTCCCATAAATTATTTAGCCTTCTTCCATGACTGTTTTTTACTTTTAAATAATATTAATAGGACATTGCCAGTGCCAAGAAAAGGATTAGTATCGGCTCCAATGTATATGGCTTGGTTAGAATTATTAACTAAAGGAATGCCACCATATTTATTAGTTAGAGGCAATCAAAATTCTGTATTGACATTTTATTCGTAAAATAATTTACATGTAATTTTTTTTTTTTTTAGTGAAACACTGCTTTAGCAAAATCAATTTTTTTTTTTTTTTTTTTACATTTTTAATATACATATAAGGTATGAATTTTAAATGCTTGATTAATGAGTTAGATGAGAAAAAAAAAAACCTGTTTTTATAAATAAATTAATTTTTATTAACTGCCAAAAGATATTTTAACTTTTTTTTTTTTTTTTTTTTTTACTCGTTGATTTTATCAATTTTATTATAAAATAAATATTATTATTATTATTATTATAAATGAAATTATGATTATGCAAAAAAAAAAAAAAAAAAATATTTAATGTAAATCTTTAAAATTTTCTTGTTTATTAATAAAAAAAAAAATTTGAAAACTAAAAATGAAAATGTCACTTTAATGAAATCTCCATCACACCACAGCTATCATATTTTAATTAATTTTTTTCAATGTGTTTGATAAAGTATAAATATTTTTTTAAGTACGTGTGCATTTAAAAACATTTTAAATTAAAAATATTATTGAAATTGTTAAATATTTAAAAGTATTAAATTTATCTTAGATTCAAATTTATGTGACTAAACTGAAAAAATGAATCATACTTGAGTTTTTTACTTGTCCTAGTATCTAATCGACGCGTTCGGTGACGGAAAATAAACGTTTGTGACAATTTTTGCTTTCACTTTATTAAAAAAAAAAACTTATAAAAGTGATTTACTTACATTATATTAAAACTTTTTGAAATTAAAAGTAAAATTTATTAACAAGTTGCAACGAAAAACCATTTATTTGAATTTTTTTTTTTTTTTTTAATTTTAAGTTGGACATCCTGAAAATTTAAGTTGTAGTAAAAATGGCCGATAGCGAGTTCGAACACAGTTTAAAGTCTGATCAAAATGTAACAAAACAAACACCGTTGGGACCTCGAGCCGTAACGATTTACAAAACTGAAACGGGGTTTGGGTTTAATGTGAGGGGTCAGGTTAGTGAAGGGGGACAGCTACGTAGCATCAATGGTGAACTTTATGCACCTTTGCAACATGTCTCTGCTGTTCTTGGAGGCGGAGCTGCAGAAAAAGCAGGAATTCGTAAAGGTGATCGAATTCTTGAAGTGTAAGTAAATTATAATCAACAACGTTTCTATAATAGATATAACAATAGTTTTAACAATACGTAAACATTTCACAATAATACGTTTTGAATAACGTAAATGTCAACTCTTGATTTTACAATTGATTGACTTCATTAATAATAATAATAATAATAATAGTTTAGGTGTTGAGGTGCTTTTCTATTTTGTATAACAACTTTGGTCGTTATTTCAATTAATGATATAACAATTAAAAATTTATTTTTTTACTTACAATACTTTCATTCATTTTGTTTACAGTAATGGTGCTTCAGTTGAAGGAGCTACACATAAACAAGTTGTTGAGCTCATTAAGTCAGGTGGAGATGTTCTTACTTTGACTGTGATATCGGTGACTCCGCAGGAAGCGGAAAGATTGGAACCATCAGATGATGCTCCTACATATGCTTGTATAGATTATTCAGAAAAGAGGTAAATTTATTTAATAAAACTTTTTGAAAATTTTTTGTAATTATTGATTTTTTATATATATATGAGTCATTATTATTATATAAAAATTTTAGACACCATTGGGCGATCAATATGTTAAATATGTTGCAGATCCCTTCCAATCTCTATACCTGATTATCATTACCTTGAAAGAGGAGGTGACAGATATGTTGTTTTTAACATATATATGGCTGGTAGACATTTGTGTTCTAGAAGGTACAGAGAATTTTCAAATTTGCACACTCAACTTAAAAGGGACTTTCAAGGATTTTCATTTCCTAAACTACCAGGAAAATGGCCATTCGTGTATGTTTAAAACGAAAATTATGTAATGTGATTAATTTACTTTGATGTTTAAAAAACCATTTATTTATTATTAAGTTTGAGCGAGCAGCAATTGGATTCTAGAAGGAGAGGATTGGAACAGTACTTAGAAAAAGTATGCGCGGTTAGAGTGATTGCAGAAAGCGATGCAGTGCAAGAATTTCTAACCGACAGCGATGTACAGGATAATGTCTCACCGGTTGATCTCAAAGTTTTGTTACCAGATCAGGAAATTGTCACTGTAACCATTTACAAAAGTGCCAATGCAGAAGAAGTATATAAAGCGGTTATAGGAAAAATTGGAATGTCAGTAAATTCATCAAAATATTTTTATTTGTTTGAAATAGTCGAATATAATTTTGGTGTGTACCACAAATTAATTTTAATTTGAAATTAAAAAAAAAAAAATTAATTAATTGATTAAAATATGTGAATGTCATAAAGCAAAAAAAAATAATTATTAATATAAAAAAAAAAAAAAACAATTTTTTGCGTTTTTCAGAACGAAAATTACTTCCCAATGAATATCCGCATAATTTATACATACAAAACTACAGCACGGCCAGTTCGACGTGTTTAGCAATCAGAAAATGGATATTCACTCTGAGTAAAGAATTAAGTTTAAAACACGACGATCTTGTTACGTCATATATATTTTGGCAAACCATTGATGAAGTTAACAGGGGCCACATAATTGCAAAAGATAGATTGTATCAATTGAAAGCTTTGCAAGATTCTTCAAGAAAAAATGAGGTGCTCGATAATAACCGCAAAGCGTTAAATATTTATATTTTTATATTATTCATATTTATATATATATATATATATATTGTAAATCATTTTCAGTACCTTCAACTTGCTCGCGAATTACCCGGTTACGGTGACGTAGTATTTCCACATTGTTCTTGTGATAGTCGTAAAGAGGGTCACGTGATTGCCGCCGTAGGAATGAAAAGTTTTCGTTTGCACGCGTGTCGGGAAGATGGAACGTTAGAAAATCAAGTTGTCGAATTTGAATGGCCTTCGATAAAAGAATGGGAAGCCGACGATGAAGCTGTGGCCTTTTGTTTTCAATATCAAAAACCTGACAAGAATCCGCGATGGGTTAAAATTCACACTCCTTACGTAAGTCGAAACTAGAAAACGTGTCAGAAGACTTTCTGCAACATGTTTAACATTTTACCCTTGTTTACAGTATTTGTTCATGTCGGATTGTTTCGATAGAATATTAGAAGAGTCTAAATGGGAGGACACGGGAGAGTGACAAATTGGGTTTTGTAGAAAATAATTGATTACGTATTCCTACTGGTAGACACACGCGCACGCACGCACACACACACACACACGCAACCTTCATAACTTTCCTGAGATTTGTCATGATGCGTGTGTTTCCACGTACAGACACAAGAAGGAGAAAGTTTAAGAAGAATAAGAAAAAAAAATACATTTTATAGTAATTGAAATTATTCGCCTACTATCTCTTCAGGTACAGGTTGATTCATTTTAATTCTATCATATACGTCAATTCGTCCAAATTTTCGATTATGTTTCCAAAAAAAAAAAAAAAAAAAATTCATTCCAAAAAATGTTTAATCGAAAAATTAAAAAAAAAAAAAAATCGTCTGCGACGTTTGATTGCATCGATTTAAAAAAAAAAAAAAAAAAGGGGGGGGAGGAGGTGGAGTGAACAACATTTTAAATGTTATTTTTTTTTAAATTGAATTTGGCGCGTATTATTATTTCCAGGTTTCGTACCTTGTTTACGATAAATTTATAACGATAGCGATTTAAAATGAATATTTGGTTAAATTTCCAAGTTTAAATCGAACTGGATGTCATTTATCTACCGTCTCTCTCTCTCACTCTCACTCTCACTCTATCTATGTATTTCTCTCTCTCTCTCTCTCTCTCTCTCACTCTATCTATGTATTTCTCTCTCTCTCACTCTCGAAGGAAAATTATTTTACTTAGTTATTATCTCTATGACTGACCAAAAAAAAAAAAAAAAAAAAAAAATTCTAAAAGACTGACTGATTGATTGATTGAAAATTTTAAGGAAAAAATAAAATCTTAACATTATCATTTCCCGTCGGAGTGTGATTATGACAAAAACATTCGAACGTTCTCATTCATTATTTCAGGTTTACCTTCTTCCTCCCTTTCCCCCCCTCCCCCACTACCGAACACCAAAACTAAACCGAAAAGAAAATTTTTCCCCTTTTCCTCTCTCTCCCCCTCTTTTTTTTAAATGGAAAAATTTAGCAGAAGAAAAAAAAGTGCGTCATTTTCAAAAAAAAAAAAGTCATTTTGCATATCAAATTTTTTTAAAACGTGATAAATCGTTGATAAACTAAGTATTATTATTATTATTATTAATTATTATTAACTATTATTATTATTAATATAAATAAAAATACGATGTAAGAATAATAATAATAAAAAACAAATCTTTATCTGTACCTTAAGAGAAAGTTAATTAATTATTTGTTTGTTTGTAATTATTTTAAATGTATAGAAAGAAAGAAAGAAAGAAGTAAGAATAATAATAATAATGATAATGATAATAGTTTTAAAAATTATTATTATTATTTATATATAATTTCTATTAAGTTCCGATACATAAAACGTTTGTTTTTATTTTAAAAAAAAAATGCTCTATTTGTTAATTCATCGATTAATCGATTTATCGTTCGATGGATCGATCGATTTGATTTATTGTATAGAAAAAATTTAAGCTTAATATCACAGTTGTGTATATATATATATATATATATAGTATATAATTTTTGTTGTAAATAAAAAAAAAAAAAATAAATAAATAAAAAAAAATTGTATATTTTATTTTAGATTTATAATTTATAATGATAATAATCGCGTTTTTCTTATCTTTTTTTTTTTTTCTTTTTTTCTTCGTCCCATCTATTAATTTTATTATTTTTTTTAAATAAAAATATTTTATAGTAAAAAAAAAAAAAAGAAAAGAAAGAAATAAAATAAACAAAAAAATTTAAAAAAAAACTAGTCATTAGTGTGAAGAAAAGAATAGAATAAGAAAGAAGAAGAAAGATAAAGAAGAAGAAGAAGAATGTTATATATAAATATTGTTAATAATAATATTGTTTTAAATTTAAAAAAAAAATTTTTCCTTTTTTTTTTTTTTTTTGTATTTTATGTAAAATTAAAAAATTTTTAATTAAATGCTTTTACGATTGGATAATTATAAATTCTATATAAAATTTAAATAAATAAAATTATGTTGTATCGTATATGCATGTATAAATGTTAAAATTTATTTATTTTCATTTTCCCTCGAATGAAATTTACCAAAAAAAAAAAAAAAAAAAGTATTATTATTATTATTTTCCAAAAATTTTCTTAGAAATAAATCCACTGAGATTATCATTATTATCATTATTATTGTTCGATTAGAAAAAATTATTTGAAAAAAAAAGTTTATCGATTGAAATTTGAAAAAATGGAATAGAGCAAATGGATTCGAAATTAAACGAAACCTTTTTTCTTTTGTCGTTAAATATTAAAAATGAGAATGATGATGATAATAATGAAAGAAATAAATAATAAATGCCTCAAATGAAATGTTTTCATAATTAAATTGTTAAATTTGTATTTTTAATTATCAAAAAAAAAAAATTTTCAAAAGGTTTAGTTACATATTATAAATCGATAAATTTCTTAAGTGGGAACATTCGAATTGTCGAAATGTATTTCATAAAATGCTTTTATTATGTGGGATTATAACTTTTTCTCTAACTTTTTTATTAATGTTAATAATAATAATAATAATACTTAGATCAATATATAAAATGTGTTTAGTAATATATATGGGGTTATTATTTAACTATTAAAAAAGTTATGTATCGTAAACCCTTTAAAAGTTTTTAAAAAATAAATGCTAATTTAATCTTTTCGGAATCTTTTTCTTTATTTTCATATAAAACAAAAAAAACCTCAATTGAATTTAACATTATTGATTATTAAAATTTAATACAAAAATATTATTATTAATAAATATTATTAAAGTTCAGCATTCGATTTTATCGGAATCTTTAAGAAATTTTCAAAAAAAAAAAAAAAAATGGTTTCAATCGCAGTATGATTTATCAATTGATTTTAATTATTTTAAATAAATTTTTAAAAAAATTGATTTGATTTAAAATATTTATTAAATTTATTAAATTTATATATTTTTTTCCCGACATCATCCTAATATTAATTTTATTATTATAACTAATATGTTGAGAAAAATAAGAGGAACTGAAATGAAAATAATGAAAAAAAAAAAAAATATGTACTAAACAACATATTTTAAATAAAAAAAAGAAAAGAATTTCTAAAACAAACATGATAAATTTATAAAAAGTAATCAGGGGGGGATCTTATTGTATTATGAAAAAAAATATGTACATAAAATAAGTACATGATAAATTCAAAGAACTGTTTTTCGAATAAAATAAAAAAATTTTTTAACAATTTTGTTTAGGTTTTTAAAACAAACTCAACTGATTACTTTACAAAATTTATCTTTTGTTAAAAAGTAATTAAATTGTTTTAATACATACATCTGGCCACAGTCCTTATTGAACGAATTAAATTTAATATTTGATGTTTAATCGAAGGTTCCTCTCCAAAACCCTGCATATTTTGTCTATCGATTCCCCATCCAACTAAAAAAATAAATAAAAAATTATGTATTTATTAATTTCAAATTAACTGATATGTGTAAAACTTATTAAAGATATTTAATTTTACAGTTTTCAAATATTATTTTTTTAATAATTGAGTTATAATAATAATAATAATACTATTTTAAAACTTCTGTTCGAGATTAAATCTTAGTATTGCATTCCACAAAGGAAATAAAGCAAAAAATTGAAAAAAAATATTTTTAATTAAGTTTTTATTTTGTTTTAAAATTAAATAATTTTAAATTTCACATAATTAAAAATTACTTAAATGATATCAATCAATTAATTAACAACACACAAAAAAGTTTCATTTAAGTTAAAAGTTTATCTTGTAATAAAACAAAAAAAAATTGCGATAAATTTGTTTTTATTTTACGTTTTTAAGTCTAAAAAATAAAATTTAATTACTTTTGGCTAAAAATCTCTCTTCGTGTAAAATACAAACTGCATTTAGTACTAATATTGAAGCCTCGAATAAATTCCACAATGTAAATGCCATTTTTTAACATGTATAATATTTGAACACGAGAATGATTGTCGTGTCAATAACGAAAACACAACGTACGACAACGTACGCTATGACGACGTACGCTCCGACGTGGAATTAACCGAATAAAATTTTTTTGAAAACTTTTAAAAATTTAATGGAAAGACGTTTTCAAATACTTATCGAATAAATCGTTAAATCGTTATAATTATTACAAAATTAATTGTTAATTTTTTAAAAATAATTATTAAATATGGCGGTACGTATAAATTAATTACTTTCTTTTCCTTTTTTTTTTTTTTTTAACTTTATTCGGTAAAACTTTTTGTTATAAATCTTATACATGTATATTTATATCAAGATATAAATTTGATTTAAAACTTGGAGAAAACCTTCTCAAATTTTTTAAATAAAATTCAACGTTTATTTCAAACGAATGAAAGTTTATCAATTAAAAAACAAATTTTAAATTTTAAATTAATTCAAAGTATCTCATCTTTACCATCATCACATTGCCTTCAAGAATTTTCATCATGTTTTTTCGCACAGCTCTCTAAAATAGAATAATTGAACAGTGTTTATTTATTTATTTTTTTTTTTTTTTTAGGAAAAAAAACTTTTTATGATTTTTTTTTTTTTTTTTTATAATTAAAACTTGAATTTTTCGGCTTGAAACGTTTAAAATTAACCAAATACTAAACTCAATGACCCGAAATTATGGAAGAAGGTATGATTGATTGGGTAAGAATTTAAAATGAATATGTTTATTGACTCTTTGTTTACTTTGTATTTATAAATAATTATAGAAGAAGCTGAAGAAGAAGGAGCAGCAGGAGGACCAAGGGAAGCAGCACGAGGAGGAGTTGCACGAGCGGAACCAGGAGCAACACGGCCACAAAGAGGAAGACAAAGAGATCCAAATGAAAGAGATACACCGGATACAACAGAACAGATTGAATCAGGAGAAGGACAACGGGAAACTCCCGATCGGGATGAAGGACTACAACGACGAGGACGAGGACTCGATCTGGGAGAAGCATCATCGCGAGAAAAAACGCAATACGGTGAACAACACTCGGAAGAAGAACTTGATGATCTAGAGGATGGAAAAGCGGGAGATGAAAAATCAAAGCCCAAGAAAAAAGGAAATTGGAAAACCATCGGTCACGAACCCATAAGTTATGAAGTTCATCCTTGTCTTCATAGATGGAAAAAATTAAATCCAAAGGGTCCTTGTATAAAATATAAACAAGTTAGATGGGTTAATATACCTCTAAGTGCAAACATAGCTCGATTAGCTTTACCACTTTTAAGGTAAAAAAAAAAAAAAGGAAAAAACTTAATTACAACCATTTAATTGTTTCCTTTTTAATTTAATTAAATAAATTTTTTTTGTTTTAGGCGTTTATTAGCATTATGGCTGGAATTTGGTGATAAGTTTCCACCAGAAATGAGAGAAAGATTAAAAGCTTTTTTAATTGAAAATTACGGTTTGACTCCAGAGTTAGTACATTTGAAATTTTTATCATTATTATTATTATTAGTATTATTATTATTAAATTTTCCTCCTTTTAGATTTTTAGAACAAATACTTGTTGAAGCTAAAAAAGCTAAAGAAGAAGAAGATAGAAAGAAAGGTAAAGGTAAAGGTAAAGGCGGTGGTGGTGGTGGAGGTGGTGGTGGTAATGGTAGTGATGATGATGACGATGATGACGATGATGATGACAGCGGAGGAGGAGGAGGTGGAAGAGGTAAGAAGAAGAAAAAAGGTAAGAAAGGGAAAAAAGGGAAAAAGGGTAAGAAAAAGGGTAAAAAGGGGAAAAAGGGTAAAAAAGGGAAAAAGGATAAAAAAGGAAAAAAGGGTAAGAAAAAGGGTAAAAAGGGTAAAAAGGGTAAAAAGGGTGAAAAGGGTGAAAAAGGTGAGAATGGTGAAAAAGGTGAAAAGGGTGCAAAAGGTAAAAAGGGTAAAAAAGACCCGGACAGCAGTCTGACGTTCAAGAAAAGAAAACCTGGAAAATTACCACTTGATTGGCCCTATAAAACCGGGTCTAAATTTTTATTAACTTGCATCGCGTATTTATCCAAAGATCCAGACGAGGATTTTAATTCTAGAGCATCTGAATATTTTGACGTTCAAGCTATGAGCGTGTTGGAACAAATGTGTCAATACATGAGCATGCCGTTACCGGATCCGGAAAAACCAACGCAATACGGTGAAACATTGGTCATAATGGCTCTTAACATATGCGATTGGATAGCCAAATACGTGACGGCTCCCGCACAAGCCATTCCCGATGATAAAGTTGAAGATTATTTGAAATTAAGAGGCGTTAAACCGCCAAAGCCGAAAGGGAAAAAGGGTGAGGGAAAAGGTAAAAAAGACAAAAAGAAAAAGAAAAAAAAAGAAAAAAAAAAAAAGAAAAAGGGTAAAAATAAAGGGAAAGGAAAAGATAAGAAAGACAAAGAAAAAAAATTACCGGAAGTCGCACCGGAATCGGAACCGGTAACGGAAATTCAAAGGAATTGGAGCGAAATGAAATCCCCCGTGTGGGTACCGGAAAAAAGTCGAATATCAAAGAGAAAACCCATGGAAGAAGAGGATGAAGAAGATGGGCAAATGAGTGAAAAGGGTACTTCTAAATATACCGAGGAAAAAGGAACTCCAAGATGGGTGGATCCCACTTTGGAAGATGTAAAAAAAGATTTTCTCGAATATATGATCTGGTACAATTCGTGGGAGCCAGAATTTATGTACCTGGGTCCTCGGCTAACACCTACAGGAATTTCAATATTCAAAATATGGGGTGATGATTCCGACTCGATCCCCGACGATTTAAGGGTGTTGAATTGGAATCAGATCGATTACGGTTACACTGACAATTACTCCTTTATTCCCTCTCCCGTACCACAATACTATCCCTCTCTTCGACCTCTACGACCCGTTCGTTTGGAAAATGTTGAGAAATCAGGTATACCAAAGAGTATATTGAAAAAAGATCTCAGGTTTTACAGTCCGTGGTATTTGATAAAAAAACCATATAAACCTCCTTCATCTCCGACACCACCTCCAGAAGAAGAAGGCATGCAAGGAGAACTTGATGATGAAGAAGAATTAGAAAATGCTATGTTAAGATCTGAAAATAAACCTATAAAAGATTCAGGTTGGGGAGATTACACTATGAAAGAACAAATAGAAATCATCGGACACATATTACACATGATGGTCACCGTACCTAATTTAACATTGGAATATGTTTTCGAACAATTGGAAGAATTTTGCGCAGCCGTTGGTTTTGCAGAAAGCGATGAAAATTCAAGTCCGTCTAATGTTATTCTACGTAAAAAAAGAACAATCATTCTGGAACAATATTTCTTAGCCTTTTTTGGTAAAAAATTCAGAGACTACAATGAAAGAACACCGATTTACATGAGAACTATTTGCAGTCGACTTGCTTATTACATACAAAACCTTTATGAATACACAGCCCAAATATTGTGGGAGTTACAAAGTCGACAAAATCCTCCAACCCCCATACCGACACCACCTGAAACACCTGATGATCCTGAATCCCTTCAAAATTGGGATGATTGGTTGGCTTGGCTCATGAAAGTAACAAATACATGTGATGAATGGGCTGGCTGGATATCAGATACAGTTAACGAAGCAGAACAAAAAGCAGCTAAAAAGAAATATGAATATGTCGGTCCTGATGGTAAATTACAATACCTCACAGCAGAAGAATGGTACAAGTGGAAAGCAAGTGTTGAGAAAAAAGTTGTCGAATTTAAGAAAACCAAACGGCAAATAATGAAAGAATCTTCATATTACAATGATGTATCCGGTACTATACTACCTGTCAAACATAGGCGAAAAAATTGTAAAGAAGAAGAATATGGGGAAGAAGAGGGAGAATTCGATGAAGAAGGAAAAAGATATCAAGGGGATGAAGGAGAAGGAGTCACCATTGAAGTTGATTGGCCTCAAGAAAAAGATTTACAAAATATTTTAGGTGTCGAAACAGAAGATGAAACAGAATGGGAAGATGTAGAGGGTGAATTTTAAAATTAATAGAAATAAATTTATTATATCTTACAATGATAAAACGATAAAAAAAAATTTTTTTAAACTTACTTAATTAATTGAAACACCTTTTAAAATTAATTTGTATCCTGTAAAAAAAAAAAAATATAAAAATTACTTTTGTTTTCCACCCTGTCACCCTCGCCCTTTCCCTCCTTCCATTATATTAAACTTGTATATATATATACATAATATTATATTTTATTGTATTAAATGTATTTTTTTTTAATGAATAATAAAGTATTGATTATTCAAAATAATTTCAAATTCATTCATTACCTTTTAAATATCTAATAAAACTTATTTAATTACAATAAATAATTATTGATAAGAGTTATAAAAAATAAATTTTAATTAATCATACTAATTAATAATTCTACTGACTTTACTTATTATTATAAATGACTGATTATCTTTAAAAAAATATATATATATTTGAAATAATTATATTATAAATTTAATTTATATTATAAAAAATTACACAATTTTAAACTTTTTTTCCAAATGAAATTATTATTATTATTTTTTTTAAATAAATTACAATAACAAATTTTTAAACAATTAATTAAAAATTTTCTGTACGTTACAAATTACAACGAAGCTTATTACTAACGCATTTTATTTTTCTTCTGCCACTTTTTTTATATACTCTATGTTTTTTTTTACGTTTTCTTAATCTGTAAACAACAATTACAATTTTTTAATCTGTGGTTTAATAATAGGAAATGTTATTTAAAAATTTTAAACAACGGAAATAAAAAAAAAAAAAAACCGTAAAATAAAATTTTTAAAATTCAAATTAAAATATGTCCAGTGATAAGAGACGTTATGATTCAACTAGCATTTCAAAATCATGGGCCAGAGATGATATTATGCGAAAACAGACATTATCTTCTGGCAAAGTTGATATTTACTACTACAGGTAGTACGATATTAATAAAATGATAACACTTTTTAATTTACATCAATATACATATATATTCCTTCCACTTATTCTTTTAATATTTTACACTTTTCATCATTAATTAAATTAATTGTAATCAGTAGGGGAATGAGAAATGATGCTTCTTTGGTACCACCGATAAGACAAACTGCATCTATATTTAAACAACCTGTGACAGTACATAGAACTCAATCTGAAGGTAAAATTAAATCAGATTTTAAACATGGAACGCAAGATAAACCAAAGCAATTATTTTGGGAAAAAAGATTAGAAGGTAAATTCATAAAATAAATAAATATGGATAAATTACTACTAAATAAGGAAGCAAAAAATTTTGTTGTGAATTTTTAGGATTAAGAGCATGTGATATTGATGGACATGAATTTAACATAATGGAATTACCTAAAAGTTTAAAAACAATCGGGCCACATATAGCAGATGAAACAATTTTACAATCAGTTGCGACAGCACTACATGTATCGACACAACCGGTTACTGGTCAAAATATAATTAAAACAAGCATGGAAAAAAATCCAGGGGTTTTTATTAATCCAGAACAACCACTTGTTCAGGTAATGATAACCCCTAACACCATTTAACCACTTAAATATTATTATTTTTACAATCGAGTAAAAAAAAAAAAAAAATCTTTCAGGCTGTAAACATATCAGATGACGATATTAAAAAACAAGAAGAAAAAGTTTTTATAGCTAGAAGAAAACTTCAAGAAGCTCTTTGTGTTCACTAAAAAACAATTATGATTGATTGACAATACAACAGTGATCTCATACAATAAATTAACATATAAAACATCAAATTCGATTCACAAAAAAAAAACTTTCTTTCTTTCTTTCTTTCTCGTAATGAAAATCAAATCATTTTTTTTTTTTTTTATTATATTATAATTAATAATTTTAAACTTATATAAATAATGATAATAATGAACTTAATGATGATAAAGTGCTTTATTATGTTTTATATTGTGTCGGTATGTAATTATTAGTTTGATTTTATCTCTCGAAATTAAATATTGATTTTATTTAAAAAGTGTTTCACTGTTTTCTGTGTGATTTTAATTATTAATTTAATATAAATTTAAATTTCCTTTTAATTTCTACTGTTTATTATATTTGCAGCAGCATAATTTTAATTTTTTTAACGGATTGAAAAACATTTTTACAAAAAAAAAAGGGAAAAGTCATCGATAAAATATGTGTTATTATTATTATTAATTTTTTCTGTATTTTTCTTATGGTTAAAAACAGAGAAAATATTTTTATTAAATTTTGTTGTTTTTTATGTTTATATTTAAGCTGTGTTAAATTGATTTCTAGTTTTTTAGTTTTTTTTTTAATAATTTTAAAAATAAGACAAGAAGAATCATGGAGCTAAGCACAGCATGGCGGTGCCACACTGGGACAAAACACTTAAGCTTAAAAAAAAAAAAAAAAAACCTTTTAATTATGATTTCGTCAGAATACAAGTCATGTTCGACACAAAAAAAAAAAAATAAAAATAAACTTTGGATTTTATTCATATTTCAAACAAAGAAGTTGGACTCGCAACAAGTTTAACGACATCCTTTTCAATATCTCACATAATATCCGGTTTTTAAAGATATAACAACAACAACAACACGGACAAGTTTCCAAAAATTTAATTCATTTCGTAATTAATCATTAATTATTATTATTATTATTATTATTACTACTGTTATTATTATTAATATGAAATTTATTAAAGTTTTTATTTTTTACTGGTAAGTGTTTTTATTTATTGATTTTTTTTTTTATATAAATTTCTTTTATGTGTTTTATAAGTATTTATAAATAATTTTATGTTGTTGTTATTATTATTATTATTTGACCACACGAAGATTATATTATAAACAATCGTTAAAGGAAAATTTATTGTTTTTCCAGCCTTTTTTTCACGAGGCACGCGGCATCATCAAATAATTTATTACATAAAGATTTTTTAACGAGATTTAATTTAACTTGGCTGCTGAATTCTCAAAATTTAAATTCCGAAAAGTCGACAAACGTTTGCCAAACGGAACATTGTAAAAAAATAGGTGAGAAGGGTATCCACCCCATAGGACCCCCACAATTCATCAAAGAAAAATAATTTTGACATAATTACAGCTCGAGACATATTGGATAGCATAGACGAGACCATTGATCCGTGCGATGATTTTTATTCTTACACGTGTTCAAATTGGATAAAAAATCATCCGGTACCACCCACGGAAAGTCATTGGAATCAATTTGAAATATTGGGACAACAATTGGATAATCAAATACGGGATTTGCTGGAGGAAAACGATGAAGAAAACGATCCACATATCGTTAAAGTTGCTAAAAATGTTTACAGTGCTTGCATGGACGTCGGTATGATATTTCCCCGAACCAAATCAAACGACCTCTTATCACTTATAACTCCTTAAATCTTGTATCATTATACAGAAAGAATAGAAGAAAGAGGAATGACGCCATTGGTTAATTTATTACAAGAATTGGGTAATTGGCCGATCGCAACGACATATTGGAACGAAAAAAATTTCCAATGGCAAAAATTAATTAGCGAAATCGGTAGAAAACTCGCCGTCAACACCGTTCTAACCGTTTACGTTCACGTCGATAAAAAAGACACTTCGAGAAATATAATAATGGTATAAGATAGACAAACAAACCTCTTCCAACCTCATAATAATAATAATAATATGTGGGTATTTCCAGATCGACGAACCGAGTTTAACGTTACCCAAATACGTATTAACATCATCGGATACGGATTACATTCGTCCATATTTAACGTTCATATCGAAATCCGCTCGTCTTGTTGCCAACGCGAGAGGTGATCCATTTTATCTTTTTCATTCTTTATCACAAAGTTTTAACATAATCAAATTCGAAATCGATTTGGCTAATGTTATGAGAAAAGAAGAAGATAAAAGGTAAATTTTACTATTATATATCTCGTTTTTTTTAACGAATCACTAACGCTAGACAATTTCCGTTACAAAAGGAACATGAACGTACTCTACGATTTGGTCACGATTAGTAAATTACAAAAATGGACGGATAAAAAATCACTTTATCATTCCCGATCGATAATAGATTGGAAAAAATTAATAAGTAATTATTTGGGAATTGATGAAGAGGCGTTAAAAGATGACACACCCGTCGCCATTACGAATTGGGATTATTTAAATCAATTAATGAGTCTTATCGATAAAACATCACCGACGGTTTTGGGTACGTCCGACATCTTTCTTTTTTTCTTTTCTATGTAGTTGTGTAATGCCAATTTCCTGGTTTGTAGCCAATTATGTGCTGTGGCGAGTCGTTTATAAAATGAGCAGAGATTTAAACGAAGAAATGACGGGTCTTAATTTCGAATTTAAAAAAGAATTATCTTCCATAAGCGAAGATTATCCGAGATGGTACGATTGCGTATTAACATCCGGTTATTTATCATTTGCTGTCGGGTACATGTACGTGAAGAAACATTTCGACGACGAAGCTAAAACTAAGGTGAACAAACAAACAAACAAACAAACAAACGTTTCGAATCGATTTTATAATACCTCTTGTGTGTTTATAAATTCTTTTGCATCATTTTCAGGCCATTGAAATGGTCGAAGATATCAGGAGAGCTTTCAAAGATGAATTATCAGAAGTTAAATGGATGGATGATAAAACAAAAATTCAAGCTATGGAAAAAGCAGACTACATGAATCATTTCATAGGTTATCCCAACTGGTTCGATAACGTGACGTTTTTAGAAGAATATTACCAAGGAGTAAGGCACCATTCATAATAATTCTTTCTTCCCCTCCCCCCCACTAATTCCCACGCCCCCCTTAATTTTTCTTCTTCTTCTTTTTCAAGGTCACAGTTGGAAAAAATCATTTCGAAAATAAAGTTTCACTCCGTGAATTTCGAATGAAAAAACTTTCCGATAGTTTAAACACGAAAACAAATCGGGAAGAATGGATTGCGGGACCAGCCATCGCCAACGCATTTTACAATCCTCAACTAAATTCAATCAGTAATCATCATTATTATCATCATCATCGTAAACGTCACCGGATGTAAACCGACCGGAAATAATTAAAATTTTCTTATTTTCTTTCTTTCTAGTACTTCCGGCGGGTGTACTCCAGAGTCCATTTTTTAATAAAAATCAACCAGAGTGAGTGAGATGATAGATGATGGATGATGATGATGATGATGATGATGATAATGATAACTAGTTAATTATTTTTTAGATCTATCAATTACGGAAGTATAGGATCTGTCGTCGGTCACGAAATCACTCACGGTTTTGATGATTTGGGTAGGCAAAGTGACAAATTGGGAAATATAAAAGAATGGTGGTCGAAAGAAACGGAAAAAACGTACGTGAAAAATTCACTTTGTTTCGTTAATCAATATGAAAATTATAGGATACCGGAATTGGATGGAACGTTACATACGGAAATGACGGTTAGTTAAAAACAAAATGGCGGAGGGTAAACACAATTTACAAAAATTTTGTTTTTAGGTGAATGGAATATTAACGTTGGGTGAAAACATAGCCGATAATGGCGGATTGAAAGCCTCTCTAAGAGCTTATTTGGAACGTGGAAAAAATAAAAATGAATTTTTATTACCTGGTTTGGAACATTTATCACCCGAACAACTTTTCTACATCGGTTTTGCAAGAGTAATTTTCCCATTTTCCACCTCTTCTTCTTCGAGTTAAGGTTTTTCCTTACTTCGAAAAATTATTGATTTTATTTTTAATTCAGGTTTGGTGCGAATCATCCACCGAAGCTTCACTTTTATCAGAAATATTAGGAGATTCTCATGCTCCTCACAGGCTGCGAGTTATCGGTTCCCTTTCCAATTCCGAACATTTTGCATCCACGTGGAAATGTAAACCAGGTACAAATATGAATCCTCAAAAAAAGTGTAAATTGTGGTAGTTGATTGCGGTGCGAATGGTGCCTTGGGGGGCGGGGGGGAGAATATGGAAATTTTTATTAATTTATAACTCAATTCCAACTTTGTTGTCTCCGCCCCCCCCGCCCCCTCGTAAAGTCCAAAAGAGTGGGCGAGTCCAAAACGGATGTGGTACGTCACAGCTCTCGGTAAAAATTTTTTGTTTGTAAAAACTTTAAAAAAAAAATTAAATAAATTATTATTATTATTATTATTTGTTTGTTTGTTTTTGTAAAATTTGTTTGCTTGTTTGTTTGTTTGTTTTTAAAATGAAACTTTTTCCTTAATAAACGAAAATTAATTACCATCCATCCATCTATTAACTATTTTGAAATTTTCCTATGGAGAAAATAATAATAAAAAAAAAGGTTCATTTTTCCTTTCTTCCTTTTTTTATCCTTTTTTTTGCCTTTTTTCCGTTTTAAAACTAAAAAAAAAAAATTTTTTTTTTTTTTTTTTTTTTGAATATTTTTATTAAATTTCCATCCAGAAGAAAAAATTAAAATTCTAAATTGTCTCGTCAAAATCAAATATTTTAAATTCACTTTTTTTTTTTTTTATCATTATCATTATTATTACTATTATTATTATTTTAATTATTATTATTATTCACAATATCCATTGTTTTTCTTTTTCTTTTTTTTTTGTTGCTTCGTCGCACCTTATTATACAGGTAATAATCATTTAATAAACCACTTCGTAAACCGTCGCCTTTTTATCTCCAGAACCCGTCACTATATATTTGTTATCGGCAGAAATGTCGCAGCTGAGAACCGAAGATGATTCTTTGGACTGAAAACGAAAACAACCAAAAATCAAAAACATTTTGAAACGAATTAAGAGGAAGCGGGGGCGGGAGAAGGGGGGGGAAACGAACCTGAAATATTGAAGCGCCGTAAGGAGTTCTCCAAGCGTTGAGCAAATTGTCTTTCCCGGTCGATACGAACCATTTTCCGCAAACGGCAAATCGGAGGGAAAGCACGCAAGATTCGTGTAAGTGAAGTTGATATTTATCCGGTTTGACAGCGTGAAGAACTTCCACGTGTGAATTTTCCATGCCGACGGCCAACCATTCTCCGATCGGACAATAACCGAGTGAAAATATCTATAATAATAATAATATTAGTAAAATGGAGAAAAAGGACGTTTATCGAAGACGACGAATCGCAACGGAACCTGTGAGGAAAAGTCGTGCTGTTGAAGTTGTCTCCCTTCTCTCAAATCCCAAGATCTGACCGTATTGTCTAAACCTCCCGTCCAAAGTTTCGTACCGTCCGAGGATATATCTATGCACGAAGCTCCATCCGTGTGTCCCTGAAACTGCCTGACTAGTGCCTGATTGTGCAAGTCCCAAACGGCTATGTTTCCATCCGAACAGCAACTGAAACATACCTGCACAAACACAAAAAACTCTCGTTATCCTTCTCTCGAATGCTACCACCCCCCCCCCCAAAAAAAACATTCAGTCTCACTTTTGAATCCGGACTTATGGCCAAAGCATAACAAGCGGGTGCGTTTGAAGTCAATTCGGCTTTGATTCTGGGTGTCGGACTCGCCAAATCCCAAATGCTCAAATTGCTCGCCTCACCGCCGACTATTAACGTACGCCCGTCCGGAAGAAGTTTAACGGATCTGATGTAATTGTCCCGTTGCTGGAATGAAAACGAATTAACACGTTCGTATTAGAATCATTCGCGAACGTCACGGGAAGTGATCAAATATTTCCCGCCAGGAGAAAGAAGAAAGAAAAAAAAACCCCATCGACGTTACTGGAAAACTCACTGGATTTAAACATTGTTGATTCCCTTTTCCCCTCCCCTTTTTCTTCCCCCGCCCCCCCAAAAAAAAACTTTTTTTTTCGCACGAGTAAATGCGTACAAACAATGGCGTAGAAATCTTTTCCTTTTTCTTTTTCCTTTTTTATTTGTTCACTCACCAGGCAATCCAATTGAGAAACGGGACTTTTGTTTCCAGGCTGACTAATGTCCCAGACTTTGACGCACCCTCTCCCACCCGTGTAAACATATTTCGTTGGATTGGATATGGTAACGGCGCATACGACTTCTCCGTGCGAGAGAGTGTTGATTTGCCTTGCGTGCCTTGGGATTCCGGGTCCGATGAGAGCATCCGTTGGAAAAGGGACGGGTTGTAGTTGACCCTCGCCGTTCATGTGGAAAGAATAAGCACTGAAAAAGTTTCCCGAAACGGGGGAGAAAAAAAAAAAACAAACGAAAATTTTAATTTTTCATTATTGTCTACGGATAAAAAGAAGAAGAAGAAGGAGGAGGAGGAGGAACTCACGGTTTTCCGCCGGGAATAGCACTCATTCCGTTTGCTGTGAGTCCTGGTGTTCTGGGATGTGGAAGAGCCTCATATCCTAGCTGTAAGATAAAGATACAAAATGTTTAGATATGCAACGAGACATACGTGAAACACACAACGCGCAAACTAACCAAAGAAGGCCTTGAATAAGGAGAAGGTGGTACGCTGTTATAGGGAGACGAATCCGATCTTGAAGATCCAGGACCGACGGATAGCGGATAAGGTGGATAACTAGCGAGTAGAGGCAATGCACTGGATTTTCCAGAAACGGCAGATGATGCAGCTTTCGAAAGCGGAGTCCCGGGTTTCTCTGTCTATTTATACAAAAAAAAGTTCAGTACAATAATAATAATAATGATTATAATTTTAACTTGTGTAAAGTTGGCTACTTATACAGTCTGGTAAACATTTAAAAATAAAAACTTCACGCGAAAAACTTTTCCAACTTCTTTTCCAAACAAGAAGAAGAAGAAGAAGAAAAACTTCTACTTACTTCTTTACTTTTTAGAGAGGGCGTGGATCTGTTCGAACTGGATCCCGAACGACTCGGTGGCCTTTCCGTTTTCACTTTGACATCTCCATTTTCTCTCACGCCGTCGTTTCTATCTCCATTTTGCTGTCCCGGGGACAAACCTTCTTCCGTGGCAACATCCACGACCAAATCCTGATCACTTTTTTCCGCGTCGCTTTCGTTTCCGTGTTTTTCTTCTTTTGCTCTCTTGAGATCGGGAGGCTCCGATTCTATCGGAGATCTCGTGCGATATTTCTCCCGTTCGGCGGGCGAAACTGAACTTCTCTGCGATCATAAAGGTTTACCCTGAAATTAGCTTACAGTCTAAACGGACTAAAAAAAAAGAAAAAAAAAAAGAAAGGAAAAAAAACACGCGAACAGACGAACAGACAAACAAACAAACAAACAAACAGACTCAAAAAGTGAGCTAGCTCCAATTAATAAACGTTTTTG